GGATAGTGTCTGTCCACACGAGACAGCTCCGTTTAGCTCCAACCGCTGGAGAAGCTGCAGTACATATACAGGAGCCTGTACGTGGCGCTGTAACTTCCTCCACAAAAGCAGCGAAGAAGCATGGTTGTCATGGTTGCCCTTCTGTTTATTCTCCTCGGTGGGGGCCGAGGGAACCGGGCAGAGTTTTTCGCCAGCCAACGCGTATAAAAGTGCCAGTCAAAGGTCTTCTTTGCTATTTATTGAGCTTTAAATCAAATGAATAACGACTCTATATAATGTAATAATAAAATACACGGAGCCTCTCTTTTTCCTCCCTCTCTGTCTCATGCAGCAGCTGATCCAGTGATGAGTGAACCGACAGTAAAAATAAACATATTTATAACTAGTTTAGGTAGTTTGAGAGGTATTTAAAATAGCTAAGGGTGATGATCTGACTTGAAGTGTGTGTTTGGCTCCGTTCACCGCTGCATCACAGCGGGAGGAGCTGCAGGTGAGCAGAGCTGCGTGTCTCCGTCCTGTCAGATTAGACTTCACTTGCGTTTATGTCCATATCGAGAGAAAGATAAATAATCTTCAGTGTGCAGTTTACTTTGACATGGGGGTGAGCAGCAGAGGTGGGGAGAGGCGGGGCTATTGCGTCATCATTATCAGAAAATGATCGATAGGGCAAACACACGGAGCCGTTGGACCCCCCCAGAGCGTTGCGTATGCGATTCTATCCACCTTGGGACCCGTTATTGTTACCGTAGTCATTTAGTGCCATATTCTGTCGTCCTGTTGTGGCCGAACGGTCTATATGACACAAAACGGTAACTGAAACGACCGTTATCGTCCTCGTGTGGCCGGGGCCTAAGTGCTGGGAACTAAGTACGGCAACGTACTTAGTGTGAAAGCGGCTCATGTCTTACCAACTTAATCCTGCAGCAGCAGTGTTTGTCTTTGTTTCCTCTCTCTTTAACAACTTAACTTACGATATAAAGATATTGTTGTCATAGAAACAATTAAAAAGCACTGGGAGCATTTTCTTGATGAAACTCTGGAAGCGGCCGCTGCTATGTGGACACGGGCCCTTAATCTCTATGTCAATGGGAGTCTTTGAGATGAGATTTTAGGTTGGTTTATTCCCCTTAGCTGGGTGGTTTGGCCCAGCACCCACCTTGATGATGACCCTCTGGTCCTGCTGCTCCTCCAGGATGCCGTCGTTGGGGTACGACTCGATCTGCTGACGGATGGCGGAGGCGATGGCGGGGACGAAGGCCAGAGGATTCAGGTCCAGGTCATCACACAAGATCTCTGCAAACATCTCCGGGGTCATCAGCTTCTCTGAGGGGGGCAGAGAGAGGAGGTGAGCCAAAGCTCTAAAATCAAATAACAAATATTACTAACTTCCTTATCGGGATTGTTTTGGATGTTGTCAAGCTAGTTGACACTTATACCATTCATGTTCCAAGTGAAGGCATCTCTCAGTTTCTGTCCATCGATTTCCATGTCCAGCCGGATGGGAACCAGCGCCTCCACCTGCGCTGCGTTCTCATGGATCACTGCGGGGTCGTGGTCATCAAAGCTGAGCAGACAACGACAACATCAGTGTTGTAAGGGAAACTGCAGCAATGGAGAGTCAGGACTCAGAGAGACACGAGGAGAGTTGGAGCTTTGATGTCAAACAATGATGTTTATTACAAGTCAACGGCCGGAGAATTAATATCACAAGTCACAGCAGCAAAAGGTTCTGACTGCACGGGTGGGTTGTCATGTCAATTCTGACCAGCCTATCTCTCGATAGACCTTTTAACTAGTTTACAGAGAGTAAACAACATATTGGGGCGTTAACACCTGGAGACACTGAATCACTTATCTGACTCTTAGGCTCTGTCACTGAAGTATTATTTGAATTATTTGAAGTATTAAAGTAACGTATTATAGCAGAAAGTTTTATACAGTGTATTTCTGGTATATTCATTTTAATGGCACCTTATATAGAATTTTGGTTAAACTTGTGATTTTTGCATGGAGTGACTTCTGCCAAGCAGATACCAAGAAGAGGCCCCTTGGGTCTCTCTGTTAATTATCAATAGTCCTTGCAATTAACAGGGGAATTCCCCGATGCATTTTCCTTAGATATAATGCAGTTAAATTCTTGTTAGTTAATGATGCACATCCTGCAGGCCTTGAGAATTGAGTCACACAGTTAAACGAGACCATAGTCCTTTGTTCTCATTTTTAAATGTATTCATTCCAGATAGCTGACTTTTAGGTGAGAAGAAGGTCAGGGAAGACCTTAGGGCATGGGAACAGTTAACTTCTGTTGGTTGACT